AACTGAGGCTCACAGTTAGGAAAGGAATGGCCCACCACTCCACGGCCAAATGGCTGCTCTCTTGACTCATAGTAAAGTGCTCTGAAAATGTTATAAAATTGATTCAACACCATCAGTTGAAAGGCACTTTTCAAAGCATTTTGCTGGGAGAAGAGAAGACTGAGGACAATTGATGGGTGAGGTGGAGACTCCATAGATATCCAGATTTGGAACACTCAAGGACAGGATCCAGGTCTCCCTCATCTCCAATGAAAGCCCAATGGAGTGTCTGGCTCCAGCTCAAATATGAATAAATGAGGGAAGGAGCTGCCATCACGGCACTTGAGGGACACTGGTGCTTCCTCTGGTGCTCTGGGTATTTATATGGAACACTCCACAAGCTGAGAAATCAAAGGATAATGGGATTTAGCCTTAGTGTGTTCTAAACTTGGTCAGTCAAGAGTCCCCTCATCACCAACCCCCATAAATTTGTTTCTTCTTTGTGAAAGGATTAATGATATCTGCTTCATCTGGCTTCCTAGAGCTTTGAGCAGTTGCAATGAAAAAAAAAAAAAAAAGGATAGGAAAGAGCTTTGACAAAAACAAGATAGCACTCTGCAAATGTGATGGCTGGGTGCTATGGTGATGTCTCAGCTAGCAATTATGTTCTCAGCGACTGTGGGCGCCAAGTGAGTCATCCTCTCACTCTCAAAGCCAGAGGATTTGAAAGAGGAGAAATGAGGTGAGCCTTTCGTTGAGAGTTCTTTTTATTTCTGTGAAGGGGGGCCAGAACAGGAGTGCACAGAGCCCCCCCCCCCAGACATGTACACTCTGTGCCCCAAATTCCAGCCTCCTTAGAACTAAACAACAAACTTAAGCAAGGACTGCACCCCCTCCTCTACTATTTAATTCTGAGATACCAAGTCCCCAAGCCATTGGGATTTCTGAGAGATAAGAAGTTAGAACCACCACATTTTATTCAGTCACAGTTCTACGTCTAGCCTTGGGCTCTGTTTCTGATTGCAACTAATGTACTCTGTGACTTCAGGCAAATTATATCCCCTCCCTGAGCACTTTACATCTGCAATATACAGAATAGTTCAGAAGCCTAACATTATCTTTCAAGAGTCCTAGATTTAGAATACCTGGGTTTGAGTCCCAGCTCTGTCACAACAACTGTATGATGACCTTAGGCAAGATTTTTCCTGGGCTTCAGTTTCTACTCTAAAATGAGGTATTTGTATTAGATGCTTAGCATTGTGTTTCAAGAGTTTTGGACTGAGACTCAGGAAATCTGAGTTCTAGCTCTAACTGCCACAGAGCAAATCGTTGTCGGAGTCTAGATTGGTCTCATCCTTTTTCTGGTCCTCAATTTCCCTATCTGTATCATGAGGGAATCCAAATATAAGTTATCTAAACACACCCTCTGATTCTAACAGCCCGCGGTTCTAGAATTTTACAGGCACTGAAAAAGGAAATGAAAGGAGAGGCAGGCCACGCCCAGAATAATTTCTCATAAACTAGTAGTGGTTGCCCTCTATAGGTCTGATCTGAAAGTGCAGGCCCAGCTGGACAGCAGTTACTGAGGCAACTGCTGCAGAGCTGAGGCAAGAGTGGAACACAGAGGGACAACTGGATGCTTCACCAGATAGGGCCACACACATCGACTAGGGTTGGATCATAGACTTCTGGGCCCTGTCTTAATGAGAGGGATCCAGACAGAAGTGTGTGTTGAGATATTGCACTTTCCTTCCCAGTCATCAGTAACAAGATACTTTCCAGGCCTACACAGACCTCATGGTCAGTGGGGTCTCTGACAAAGGTAAAGTAACTAAAAGAATGTTTTCTACTTTATCAAATACTTTTCCCACACATTTGGGGGGATGTGCATGAATGCTTGCGGATGGAGTGTGAATGTGCTCTGAAGGTGGGTATGAGAACAAGTTTGTTTCATGGCTGAGAAGTTTTCACATGTGAGGCAAAGAACTCTTTTTTTTTTTTTTTTTTAATTCTCACCCGAGGACATTTTTCCATTTTTCACTCAGATAGAGCGGGAAGGAGAGAGAGGAAGAGAGAGAAACATCGATGTGAAAGGGACACATCGAGTGGCCGCCACCCACACGACCCAACCAGGGCCGGGGACAAACTGCAACCGAGGTACATGCCCTTAGCGGGAACCGAACCCGGGTCTCTGTGGACCGCAGGCTGACGCTCTAACCGCTGAGCCAAACCGGCCAGGGCCAAAGAACTCTTCATAACATATGGAGGGAGCTGCTCAAATTAAAGTGTTTTTCAGCATCTCCATCTATTCCCTACCCTTATCAGAGGAGAAACAATGCGTGCCTGAGCGAAAGAGCCAGTATGACATTAGTATGGAAGTGAAAACCTAAACCATGAGGGGAATACATACTGGGGAATGCTCAGTATTCAAGAAGGGTCCTAAAGACTAGGGGGCTTGTTGGATCAGTTTTGGAGTATCACTAAATTTGGGGCAATCTGTGGACTCATTCTTGAAGGGCATTAAGTGCTAGGGGCTTAGGAGAGATGCAAATATAGGGTTCTACTACAGAAATAGGCATATACTAAGCTTTTCATCACTGTCATTCTATAATGATTCATTACAGAAGTACTAGTCAGGTCATGAAACTGTATACCACCTTTCCCCTTCTCTCCTTCTTGGTTAAAATGTCTGACCATCCAACCCAAATGCAAACTGGGAAACAAAGGAACAAAGTGTTCCCTATTGTGTGGCAGAAATCATTGCAGTTCTAGTTCTGCTCCTGACTCACTGTATAACCAGGGTGAAGTCTCAGCCTCTCTCTGGGCCTCAGTTTCCCAACCTGAAACAAGAGGGATTTGGACTTGATGAGCTCCCAGGCTTCTCCCACCCTGATAGTCATTTTATCTGGTTCATTTTATAATGTTCTGTGACATTCTCACTCTGCCCGAATAGGGCCCAGCTATTCCCTAAGGTCCTTTCAACTCTAAGGTTCCACCCTACTCATTTAAACTCCCAACCCTCTCCATAACAACCAGCCCCACCCCCATTCACTCATCCCACTGCTTCCCAAAACAGGGTACAGTCATCTTTACTTTTTAAAATTTATTTCAGAGAGAGGAAGGGAGAAAGAGAAAGATTGATGTGAGAGAGAAACATCATTCGGTTGCCTCCTGCACATACCCCCACCAGGGGGTTGATCCTGCAACCTGGAGTATGGGCCCTTACTGGGAACTGAGCGCACCACCTTTTGGTGTACGGGATGACACTCCAACCAACCAAGCCACACTGGCCAGGGTTAGCTGTCTTTACTTTTGGTGAGTTAAAAAAGATTGATACAGTAGTTCTCTGAAGTGACAGAAGCCCCAGCTCTGCTACTACTTCCGCACACCCTTGGGAAAATCCTCTCCCTTCACTACAACTCATTTTTCCTGTTTTTAACTTAAAGGCAGTCTACTAGAATGGTCTCTGAAAGCAGCAAATTGTTCCAACATCTTCCATTTCTAGGCAGTGAGAAGGTAGTTATTTTCTTTGATGTTTTGCCATAATCTTGATTTTCTTTCAGTGTTTCTTAAAAGGAAACCTCTCTCTCACCTCTGATAAGTGCCCAAGGTTTCCACCACCATGCCCTAAACAGGACAGCCAGCCTTCCATTTCACTTCCTGAACTTCTGGGCCTGTCTCCTTCCCCACCCCACCTTGTTCCCACCAAACACAAAAAGTTCTTTTCTCTTCAAGGTGTGTGATGATAGTTTATTCTGAGCAACAGATGCAATAAAGATAGCAAATTGTTTTTAGCCTATCAAATAATTTGCCACACATCTTGTCGTTCGTTTATTACCCCACTCTTATCCCTTCTGATGTCCATAAGCCTCTACCCCCAAAATCACAGATAGACTCTGGAATGGAGAGTTCAAAGGATATTTTATTTAAAAGTTTTGTAAACAGAATTATGCTCACAGCTTCAGCAACAGTGAGAGTTCAATTAAACCTCCCTGCTCAGCCCAGTTGCCTGGAGCACTTCCTCAGACACCCCAGTGGCTTCACTTGAAGTCAGACCTAAGGAGGTCCCTTCTCTCCCTCCAGGAAGCCAGTTCCAGGAGAGGTACATGGTTGTTGTCACCACAGGAAAAGCCAGGAGTGAAGAGCATGCAGGTGGTAGAAGAAGGAGGATGGGGGGAGAAGAGGAGGTGGAAAGGTGGGAATATTCAATAGCAGCAAGGGTTGGAGGTAGACCCGTTGTGGGTACTGAAAAGTGTTTGAAAAAAATTTAAAAGAATTGTAAATGAGTACATCAAAAAATATGTTTAAGAAAATCTGGAAGAGGAAATCACTTGCCTGTTCTTGCCAACAAATCCAATTTCCTCGATCCCGTTTATGCAATAATATTTCATGTCTATTAGTGACTACATATTGTTATTGTAGCTGAGATAGTGTGGTTAATATTGAATAATATATTGTGGTTAATGATGGTTAATACTATATCTAAAATATTATGAAAAAAATCACAGAGATGGGAAAAAAGGGATGGTGTCGGGAAAGATATAATGGGATAAAGAGGAGGTCATGGAGTTGGAGTGCTTTCCTGGATTCAGACCTGGCTGACCCACACCTGTTTGGAGTCTGAGAATCTCCAAAAGCCTCCTTTTGGCTCTAAGGAGCATTTGTCCCGGGGCCAGTATGGTGATCAATGCTACAATCTGGCTGTGCCTGGGCACTGCTGGTACTGATTGTCATCAATACTCATAATCAGTTTCTGTCAGATATCCACAGACAGTTGCTATGAATACCCACAGCCAATCACCTTTGGTATCCATAGGTGACTGATGTAAATATCTTATTGCTACCATCACTCAAAAGTCCCCCCTTTAAACGATGGTCTAGTTGGGGGCGCGGGGGGCAGGGATGAAGTGATAGGAGGGGAGAACTGGTTGAGGGGGGAATATAGCACCAATACAGGAAGACCCATCCTTTATCATTCCTGGTCACTTCAGGATTACGAGAAAGGCCCAGGGTGGGGCAGGGGGAAGCTGAGGCCTAGCTGGCCTTGCCCTTAAGCCCCTTCCTTCAGGATGCCCACCTGAAAATGGGGAAGGGTCTACCCTTCAGGCCATGGCTAGCTAATACTGACTCGCAGAGATTGCCATGACCTGGGATTATTCTTCAAGGTTTGCAAAATCAAAGGCCAGAAATTCTCATCAGTAACCGAAAACTGGCAAGGGGAAGTAAGAGAAGGTGGGGGTCCACCCCTCTTGACTAATGGGCCCATTACAGGATCCCACTGGGCCTCAGTTTCTGGCGGGCCAGGGCTACAGCATAATAACGTTGGAAACGGACCAGAAGCACGGGCACCAGCAAGACCCCAGTGCACATGCCTACGGTGGCTGTGACAGCAGCAGTGAGCTGGCCCAGAGCAGACAGGGGGTAGACGTCTCCATAGCCAACGGTGGTGAGAGTTATAACAGTCCACCAGAGACACGTAAAGATGTCACCAAAGTGGGGCTCACCCTGACCGGGGGTGGACATGCCTAAAAGCTCCCCATAGAGGAAGAGCAAGCCAAAGAATAAGATCTCAGCCACCCAAATCAGGAGAAAGGCACACACCTCCTTCCAAGAAGAATGAAGCGTATGAACCAGGACTCTCATGGCCAGGGACTTTTCAAGGAAGCCCAGGAGACGAACCAGCTTGAGGACATAGAGAGAACGGATGGCCCCAAGTGTTAGGCTGAGACGGGGTTGCTGTTCAGCCTTGTCACCCACCACCAATTCCACCAGCACAGGGAATAGACAGAAAATGTCGGCCAGATTGAGAGGGCTACACAGGAAGCGCACCTTATCAGGGCAGGAAATAGCCCGGGCAAAGAGTTCAGTTCCAAACCAAAGGGCACAGAGCAGTTCCAGGTAGAGTAGGTGGGGGGCACGGCGGTAAACAAGACCATTGTTCTGCTGCTGTTGATGGTTTCCCCCCACCCCTACCCCATGTCCCATAGGAGTGAAGTTGGCAGAGAAGTAATCCAGCTGGACCTCCGTCTCCTGGAAGAAGATGACCAGAGCACACACGGCAAAGAGGGTGGAGATCAGGGAAAGGCACTGGGGGAAAAGAGGCATGTCAGAAGTACCCCCATTTACCAGCCATCCCCACTTCTTTAACTGGACCCCACCCTTCTTTGCCTCCCTTTTTTGGGGATCCCCTCAAATTGTCCTGGGCATTTGTAGATTCAAGGCCCAAGTACCACACCAAGTATGTGGCCATTGTGGCAACTTGGCAAGGCCCTGTGGGAGTAAGAGTGTCTAGCATGGCACCACAACACTTAAAAAGTTACCTTGGCCCCTAGGGAAGACTGGGGTTGGTCAAGAAGCACCCAGAGCCACGGCTTCCAAGCATTCCGCAGTCCCTGGCCTTCGATGGGGTTCAGCAAAAGGCGCTCATCCATGTGGGCATTCTCACAGGCCTCCCAAGACAGAAAGTCCTGGGCTCGGGTCTCCTTGCCACTCAGCTTGAGCCAGCAGCAAGGTGCCAGCGGCGCTTCCGCCAGGCCCCAATAAGCCAACTCCTCCTCTAGGACATCCCGACAAACGTTGGCCGGGCAGTGCAGCTGCCGAGTACGGTAGTAGCCCAGCACGTAGCCAAAGAGTTCAGGATTTCGGTCAAAGAAAAACTCTCGAACCGGTGGACCCTGAGCAGCTGGGGTGCCAGGCGGGGGTGGCTCAGTCAGCTTGTAGAGACGGGTGCCTGGAAAGGCCCGCACAGTGCTGATGTAGGTCTCGTGGCGCATGCCCCCCACGTTCAGGATCAGTTTATCATCCAAGCCCTCCATGGCAAACTGTGAGCCTGCTTCTCGGCTGGCTCGGATCCGCTGGCAAGAGGAGGGATGACAGGGGTTAGGACGAGGTCCTCCTGCTCTCCTCTCCCCTCCCAGGCCTGGCCAGGGCAGGGAGAGGGCTGAGGGCCACAGAAGTGATGTGGCAGCCCCGACACCCAAGGGAGGCTACCCCAGGCTGGGAGCTGGAGGTGTCTCTTCCTCCTGGGTCTTCGAGAATCAGGAGGACAGCCAGCTCTCAGATGTAGTCACAGTGACTAGCCAGAGTCTCTCCTGGGCCCAGCAATTCCAGGAGAAAAACCAGCCTAACCTGGAAACAGAAGTCTTTCGGGGGCGCTTAGGAGATGCCTGGTGACTCTGAGAGAACGACTGTGCCACGGTATACAGCAGAGGAGTCACAGACAGGCAACCGCAGACTACATGGGCAGATGGGGACAGGGGCAGCTCTTAATCCTCTGTCCGACAATTTGAAAACGTGGGGTGGGGGCGGGGTGGGGACCGGGTCGAAAGAAAAGCTGCCAAGGGAGGCTAAGTGCAGGCAATGCGGAGTGAAGGTGGGAGTGACAGAGGAAGCTGGAGGGCCTTAGAGATCCCTCGGCCTCCACAAGGAGTAGGAAGTGCCTGACTTGAGAAACTGGCTGGGGGGTCGGCAGACCTGACAACGATGATTTTTGACTCCGACTCCCCTGGCACCTGGTCCCGGGCACTCGTCAGCAGCATCAACTGCACCAACTGCACCAACAGCACCAACAGCACCAAAAGCACCAGCAGTACCAGCAGCAGCAGCAGCAGCAGCATCTGTTGGTCTCTCTACTGGGCGCCCTAAAATTGCTTTGGGCTTAATGAGCTCCTTGCCTGGGAACAGAAAGGGGTAAGAAAAGAGTGGGGGGCAGAGGAGAGAGAGAGGGTGGTAGGAGCACAGAAAGGCAAACGACGGGGGGTCAAAACACCTACCCAGATCAACATTTCAGTGTCCCATACCCCCTAACAGGCAGCCTGCTGGGGCCTCCCATGTTTGTCCCTGAGGGCAAAAAAGGATGAGGGCACAGGCAGCCATTTCCAGTCTGGGAACATCACACCTCACACCCCCTCTTCCCCCTCCTCCAACCTCTCAGCCAGTCCTTCCTCACTCACTTGGTTGTTTTGCATGATCCACAAATACTGGCAGTGAAGGGACCAGCGGCTGGCTGGGCGGCGGGGCCGGAGGCGGTGGGACGGGTGGTGTGGCCGGCATTGCCGCCGCCTCCGGAGTTCTTGACTGCTCCTGCATGGAGAGATCTCAGGTCCCAGGACCAGGGTGTGCTCATGGAAGAGCTGGCGAGAAGCTGGGGTTTTCCAGGAGCCTCCCGTTCCTGCTGTGGCCAGAGGAGCAAGTGCTGAGAGGCAACAAACCGACTCAGGGCTATATGTGTTCCCGCCTGCTTGTTTAGGAAGGCCTTCCTGGCCCCCAGCCTGCAGGGAATCAGACAAGAGACCCTGGCCAACTTTGCTGCTCCTCCTTCCTCCCCCAGCTTGGTTCCAGCCCAGAGCAGAGGGAGGGGAGGAGGCAGCTGGAAGAAAAACAGGAAGTTAGGTGGTCAGGCTCCAGCCAAGAGGCCACCTCACAGGACCAGTTAATATTTCGAACAACTTTCTCCCCCCACCCCCCACCCCCCCAGCCCCACTCTAATTCCCCACCTTCCCCCCAGCTCCACTACAGTCCTCCTATCGGAAGCCTGAAAAGGAGGAAGGGGGTGGGGGGAGGGGGAAGTGAGGAAGACAGCCTGGGAGGCCAGATGTGTTGTTGGCTGTATCCAGCTGTTTCTGCCCACTCATTTTTCCTTTTCTTTTTCTTTCTTTTTTTCTTTTTTTTTCCCACTCATTTTTCTTCCTTTTTCTCCAGAGGCCCTGGTGCCAAGGATGGGAGTAGGAATCAGAGAAGGGGAGGGGAAGGGGGGAAGGGGAGCAAGCAGTCCCAGAGAAAAGTCTGCTTGCCTGTGGCCTGTGCCAGGATTGGCCGAGTCCCCAGCCCCTTGAGATAAGCCACATCCCCTCCTCCCCCTCTTTCTCAACCTCCACCTCCAGGACCCCTTCCTGGGAACTGAGCCAGTCTTCTATTTTGCTACTGATGAGAGTTTGCTAATCAAACACCCAGAAGAACCTAAATTCCAAGATAGCCTCCACCCCCCACTTCTTGGCCCAGCCCCCATGCCTCGCTCCCATCACCAGACCAGAAATTTCGAGGAGGAATAAAGATTCCTACCACAATTTAACACGCTCCACAGCTCTTCCTTTTCAGCCCATCCCTCAGAGCCTGGGTCGAGTTGGATTGAGAGTTTCAACACATGCAAACAAGCTCCTGGCTTCTCTCTTCTCTTAATCACTGCCTTGCTCTGGGGCTGGGGGAGGGGAAGATCCCCCTCAGTGGATTTCATGGTGAGAATGGGGGAGGAGGGGGTGGTGGTCACAAACACAACTGTGGTGGGCCTTCACTCCACTAAGCCCATTCGTGCATCAGCCTAGGAGGCCAGGCAATAACTTGGGCACCTCAGCACTTTCCGAGTGAGAAGGGTAGAGGCAGCAGTTTTCTCTCTCCCTCCCCCCACCCCTTTCCCTCTCACGTCCTGCCCCTCACCCACACCAGCCCTTCTTGATTCCTTCAACCAACCAGTCTGTTTCATCTCTTTCACGACTGTCCTGTCCCTTCCAGCTATCTATTGGCTATTCATGTCCATCTCCACTGTCACCTCTTTGGCGCAACCCTCTCTGAACCATTCTGCCCAAGACAAGGTCCTGTCCTCTACATTCTCACAAACTGCTTTGGGGTTTTTATTCTAGAGCACTTTTCTTCCTAAAACATTATGTGTCCAATTCCCCATTGTATTATTTTTTAATGGTTGCTGTAACAAATTTCCACACACTCAGTGGCTCAAAATAACATGAATGTATTATTATATTTCAGTTCTGAAGGTCAGAAGTCTAACACGGGTATCACTGGACTAAAATCAAAGTATGGGCAGGATTCCATTTCTTCCTGGGGGTTCTAAGAGAGAACCTGTTTTGTTGAGTTTTCCAGCTTCTAGAGGCCGCTTATAGTCTTGCTCTTAGCCCCTTCCTGAGTACTTCTCACACCTCATCACTCTGATCTCCTTTTCTCTTCCCTCTTCCACTTTTTGAGACCCTTGTGATGACATTGATCCCACCCAGATAATCCAGGGAAATCTTCTGATTTGATTTTATTCTTTTTTTTAATCCTACCCCAAAGGTATTTTTCTTTGTTTTTGTTGTTGTTTATCCTCGCCTGAGGACATTTTCCCATTTTTGCTCAGGTAGAGTTGGAGGAAGAGAGAAGAAGAGAGAGAGAGACACATCGACGTGAAAGGGACAAACTGCAACTGAGGTACGTGCCCTTAGCGGGAACCAAACCCGGGCTGATGCTCTAATGGCTGAGCCAAACTGGCCAGGGCCCGAGGGTATTTTTCCATTTATCTTCAGATACAGTGGGAGGGAGGAAGGGAAGGGGAGAGAGAGAGAGATAAGTATTGATGTGAGAGGGATATATTGACTGCTTGCCACCCACAGGACCCCAAACAGGACCAGGGACAAACCACAACCAAGGTATGTGCCCTTGACCAGAATCGAACCCGAGATTCTTTGGTCCTCAGGCTGATGCTCCAACCACTGAGCTAAACTGGCCAGGGCTGATTTTAACATTATTTGAGGAGTAACATTAATTTTATCTGCAACCTTAATTTCCCTTTGTCATATAATATAACGTATTTATAGATTCTTGGGATTAGGACAAGGAAATCTGTTCAGGGGGCACTATTCTACTTACCACACCCATCTCAGCTATGAATTTCCCAAGGGCTGGGCCATATGTGACTTATCTTTACAACTTCCTACCCTGCATTCCTGTCTCCAGCTAAGTGTCTGGCACAGAGTGGGCATTCATCAGTGATTGAACGAACATATGTTATAACCTCCCATAGTTACCAGATCTCTCAGTTCTTATAAAACAGACTTCTTCCTTCCATAAATCTAACCTAAATATGACCTGCTTTGTTATCCCAATTGGACTAATGCCAGGCCCTATGATGTCTCAACCCTTTTGTTATTTGCTCCTGACTAGTGAGGTCTAACTGGAAACAAACTGATAACTAGCCCTGCCAATATAGCCATAGCAGGAACAGTTAGCCAGGTTTTCTGGGGTGGTTGACCCTTTTTTTTTTTTAAGAGTTCGATCTTTTATTTTTATTTATAATTTTAATTTTTTTTTTTTTTTGTTTTTGTTTTTGTTTTTTTATCCTCACCCGAGGACATTTTTCCAATTTTTGTACAGATAGAGTGGGAGGGAGAGAGAGAGGGAGAGAGAGAGAAACATCGACGTGAAAGGGACACATCGAGTGGCTGCCACCTGCACGACCAACCAGGGCCGGGGACAAACTGCAACCGAAGTACGTGCCCTTAGCGGGAACCGAACCCGGGTCTCTTCGGACCGCAGGCCGACGCTCTAACCGCTGAGCCAAACCGGCCAGGGCTATAATTTTAATTTTTTAATCCTCACTTGAGGACATGTTTTTCATTTATGTCAGAGAGAGAGGAAAGGGGAGACAGAAAGAAAGAAACATGGATCAGTTGCCTGACCAGGAATCAAACTTGCAGACTTTTGGTGCACGGGACCGAACCATTGAGTCACACCGGCCAGGACTGTTGCTTCATTCTTGACGCAGGGCTTCTTCCTGTTACTTGTAAGTCAGATCTTTAAAGCCTCCACCACCTGGGCTGAAGGGGAAAGTAAGAGAGTGAATCCTCTGTATGAAGACCACCTTCCTAAGCCCTCCTTCTGATCTAGTCAGGCCTGCCTGTCCCATTCACCTTAACTGTTCTTTGGTAGCCTTCTACGTGTGTAGGAGAGAGGGTCTGGACAACTAGAACCCTGTCCACATTTTGGGAGTTTGTTTCCTATACCCTGTACAGAGATGGACGTGTGAAAAGGTCTCCATAAACCCAGACTGTGACCCCAAACCATTTTTTGCAAACCCCTCTCCCATACCATTCATCCTGTCACCAGAAAGTATTCCTTACTTCCCAAAAACAGCATAAATTAACCCATCCCCTTATCTTTCCTTAAGCCATTAAGATGCCTGCCTTCCTCCCCCTCCTGCCCTCTCTTTTTTCCAAAACACACACACACACACACACACACACACACACACACACACAAAATCTGCTCATCTTTGAAAGCCCAGCTAAAATGACTCCTCCTCTGTGAGATCTTCCTTATCATTCTGTTAGAATTGATCGCTCCTCCCTCTCCATCTCCCCAGCAGTTTATAGTTCTATTTAACATAAACTCTATTCTCCCTTGTGTGCTAGTTGTTTGTTTACTTGTCAACTTCTCCACGTCTGGGGTGTATTCACCCACCACCACAGCCTTACCTCCGTCACACAGTGCCTGGCACCGAGTCTGTGGTCAGTCACTGTTGACCCAACAAATGAATGGTTTGCTCATCTTTTCCCTGGTCCAATGGGAGGCTCAAGAGAAATCTTGGTCCATGTGTTACAAAGTCCTCCCGCTTCCATGACCCGCATCCTCCTCTTCCCCAGTTCCACACACAAACCTTGGGCCTTGTGTTTTTTCTATACTCGTCCTCTGTGTGGCCCAAAAGCAGTGAACTGCACCCCTCGGATGGCTGCTGCGCTACACTCACCTACTTATTTCTCAGGCTATAAAATGAGGAATTGAAACTCACAGTGCACGTGATATGTGTCCAGGCACTCTCATCACATTAGTAACCAGATCAGAAGTGAATCCCTGAAAAGTTTCCCGAGTTTTCAGTTTGCTTTGCACACAGACACCACCCCTGAGCATAGAAAAGTGGGTAAATGGTGCCACACAGTGGCTAAGAGGCTTATCTTCACCTAACTGGCCTTGTTCCTCGAAAGTGGAATTCCCAGCCACACCCTGTTCTCCCTTTCTCCCCTGAAGGATGAGGGGACAGGGAGGCCACCTGACAGTAATAAGCCACAGGATATCCATGTAGCCACACCTTTTGCAGGCAGGAAACTGGACCAGGAAAGTTTGGGGAGTGGAGGCAACAGACAACTTGAGAGCCAGAGAGACCGGTTTCCTGAAGGGATTTTGAAGAGGGGATTCAGACCTTCCTTCTGTGAATCAGCTCTGAAAGCTGTTCCCTGGGCCGGACACAGTCCTGTCTATTTAGAATATGCAGATCTGAAGATCCAGGGTACGGAGCTAGAGAGGACATTCCCAGCTTCTTTCAATAGGGGTTTCAACAAGTTGGTCTGGAGGTTAAAAAGCTGGGCCTTTCTCCTTTTGAACACAGAACTGTACCCGAGTTGATCTCCCAAAGCCTTCTTGGTCAAGCTTCTAGTAGGAATCTTCTACATTGTAGGTCAGAGGAAAGGAAGGTTTAATTTCAGGCAGAAAAGGGAAGGGGAGGCAGGTTTTGTGTTATCTGCCAAGAACTGACAGCATGCTTCATCTGGGAATGGAGATTCTTGGAAGTTTAAGAAACAAGAAGCTCCCTAGGGCTGCATCTAGGCCAAGGCCACCTGCTTGGCCCCTCCAATAAGCCATCATCCTTGACCCCCAGATGGCCTATGGCTGGATGCCTGGGTTGAAAAAGAAGGTGGGGAGAAGTTGGGCTGCCAGGAAAATAAGGCCTGGCCCTAGCCCTGTTCCGGAATGAAATTGGGGGCAGATGACTATAAATCAGGCAGAGGCCCAACGACAAATCAGGCAGGAGTCCTCTTTCTTCATTCCTCTCACATCTGGGTTTAGAGTTCCAGGAATCTGTCCAAAGGATTGGGCCCCGAATAAGCTGGCTGCTGGCAGGCTGGGGAGGAAAGGGGATGCTAAGAAAACTGGATGAGGGGAGGAAGGATGATAATGGGATGGAAAATGGACAGCACTGAGGGGTGACAGAGGCTTAGACATGAGGCTGAGGCATACTTTGTGGACTGGGGTGGAAGTTAGGCAGCCAAATGATGTTTAAATGAAATGATCTTGAAAATTGATTTCCTGGTTGGCTTGGAACGCCTATGAAAAGAGCAAGACACCATACCCCAAGCCAAGGTCTCAGACCACAATTTCCTCTTCCATCTACCCCCCTCTTCAGGCCCAGAGCACATGATGTCATTGTCCCCTAGAGTTGTCCCTCCACCCCAGAGGGGTGCTGATTTTGGAGTTAGTATGATTCTAACACTTGTTGTCTAACCCCTTTAAATCCATGGAGTATTCCATATACTTCACCTACCTTTCAACATCTAGTACTCAATTAAAACAGAGGGACAAACTGGTTATGGCAGGTTACCACCCAGATGTCCATCTACTTAGCACCCCACAGTTCTGTGAGGTCGGCAAGACAGGGAGAGTTATCTCCATTTTATCAATGAAGATATTGAAATTCAGAGAGATGAAGCTAATTGACTCAAAATCTCAGTGCTGGAGGGCTCTAAAATTACTCGAATCAAAATCACCGTTTGCCAGAAACTCCCAGGCCCAGCCCCATTAACTCTCCTGCAGATATACAATTAATACGAAGCCTTTACATGCAAGTACTTTCAGAAATGGGAAGATTTAACTAGAAGTGATATCAACTTAAGATGGATAAAATGGAGCCGGCCCTGAAATTAAACTGAGTGAATGGGAAGCTTGTCTGGATTGGAAATGAGAAGCTTCTGGGAGGAGCACAGATAAATTCCCTTTTCTACAAGAAGTTGCTAAGAACTTTTAAAATCTGTCTCGAAACTAAGGAAGACTTCTGAAGCTGCTCAGTGCCAACACCCCACTTCCCCCTCTTCTACAACTGCCCTTCGGTACCCTTTGCTTCATTGTCCAAAATCACTCTCCTTGCCCTGGTTAGTTTGGCTCAGCAGTTAGACCGTCGGCCCGCAGACCAGAGAGTCCCAGGTTCGGTTCTCGCTAAGGGCACGTACCTCGGTTGGAGTTTGTCCCCGGCCCTGGTTCGGGTCGTGTGGGTGGCAGCTACTCGATATGTCTCTCTCATGTCGATGTTTCTCTCTCTCTTCCTCCAGCTCTATCTGAAGATAAGTGCAAAAATGTCCTCGGGTGAGGATAAAAAAAAATCACTCTCCTTTCTTCCTCCCCTTTCTCTTTCTTTTCTCACCTCCTCCACTACAGCTCCCTGCTGACCTCAGGGCCACACAGAATGCAAAACCAGACCAGAAGAGACTAGAAAAAATATTCTGGTGGCTTCCTTTGAGAAAATCTGGTCTCAGTTAGAGGGGAACCAGTGATTGTGTATATTCCCTGGACTAGAACAGAATTAAGAAATCTACGTAAATATTTCCCAGCTTCTTCCACAGCCCTGAAGGGTCACAAAGGAATTTAATTCAACTGTTAGAACATATGATCCCGGCTATTCCAATCTATTCAAATTAATATACCTACTGGTTTCTGGGAACAAAGCAACAGAATTTAAGCATAGAGTTCTTCCGAGGACTGTAAGAGGGCTTTTCCCCTTCTCCTTACTAAGGAGAAATTGAAAAACAGGAAAAGAGCCCGGCTGGTGTGGCTCAGTGGTTGAATGTCGACCCATGCACCAAGAAGTCGCTGGTTCGATTCCTGGTCAGGGCACATGCCCAGGTTGTGGGCCAAATCCCCAGTGGGGGGCATGCAGGAGGCGGCCAATCTATGTTCTCTCTCATTGATGTTTCTATTTCTCTCTCCCGCTGCCTTCCTCTCTAAAAATAAATCAATAAAGAAAACAAAATTTAAAAAAAGAAAAACAGGAAAAGAAACAAAATCACCCTTTGCTACTCAACTGCCCAGTCCTTCCACTCCCTCATTCCCATGTCTAATGACTGAGTAGCAGCAGTACTTCTCCACCTCCAGCTTCTTGGAAATCACTGTGCTCTGAGACAGGCTTTGTCTGAAGTCCACAGCCTACTAGGTACGGAGCCTGAACTAGGAGCCCCCGGTTTAGGCTGAGTTAGAGAAGAGCTGACACCTAATATTGAGCTGCTTGCTGTTTCCGAAGTTGGGAACTCTCCTGCGGTTTTAGCTGGTTTGCATCCGACATCCTCTTACATTGTAGCAAAATCAAGACTCAAGAGGAGAGGGGCAAAACCACCTGAGCAAAGGAAGGAAATAACAAACTGCGGAGTGCTGAAAATAAGCCTTTATTTTAGAAAAGCATCTGGGCCAGAATCAGGATGGGAGGTCTGGGGTGAGGCTCGGATGGAAGGGAAAGAGGAAGTCTAGCCAACTGCGTGGAAGTCAGGAGACTTGAAAAATTTCCAGCCAGCCTGGGATTAAGAGTTTGGGTGCTGGTCAGAGGTGGCAGCAGAGGATATGATTCCAATTTGGGTTTCTATACCAGTTTGGCTACTTTGAAAGACCATCTGGAGTAGCAGCTGCTGTACTGCAAATGAACATCTCCTCATCCTTTGCCAGAATGTCAAAGACTGAAATTAAAAAAAAGAATCCAGCTTCCTCCAGCTCTAACTAGTTTTGGAGTTGGGGTGGGGATGGAGGGCATACAGATCCAGAGAAGTTAGCCCTACAAATAATTTAGTCAGTGTAGTTATTACATAAATAATAGTCAGCAAACATAGAAATACTATTACTATGAAAACTGGGGCCCAGGGAGAAATTTCTGTCTACATGACATTAAAATTAAGCAGACCAGTTGTTCGGTTTTGATCAACTTAATGCACGTGATTGATTCAGCGGAAAACAATTAGCCAGTAGAGCTTCTTGGCATGAAGACGACCAAATACAGTTTCTCCCACTA